TGCTCAGCGGGGAGCCTGCTTCCCTCTCCGTCTCTCTCTGCCTGCCTCTCCATCTGCTTGTGATTTCTCTCTGTCAAATAAATAAATAAATAAAATCTTAAAAAAAAAAAAAGAAAAAGAAGTGATTGCTCAAAAAATGTTGGAAATCGTTCTTTGATTTACCTCCAGAATGTGCAGGACATTTAGATATCATCAGTAGCAGCAGCATTTTCCTCGAAAGTAGTTTTGGTTTTGGGGAATACAAAATTTGTTCAGTGTCAATCTGCATAATGAGATAGCTGATCAGTTCATTCAGTACTATTTTATATCAAAAGCAGGTATGACTATGAAGTAATGATAATTTTATTATGATTCATAAACTTGACCCTTAAGCAGTAAAAAGAAAAGTTCCAAAATTATTTAAAGAAAGCATTGCTAGTACCTTACTCCTGTCAGAATGGCTAGAAGCAAAAAGACAATCAGAAGACAGTGTTGGTGAGGCTGCAGAGAAAGGGGAGCCCTCATGCACTGTTGGTGGGAATGTGAATTGGTGCAGCCACTGGAAAACAGTATAGAGGTTCCTCGAAAAGTTAAAAATAGAAATATTGTATGAACTCATAATTCCACTATTGAGTATTGACCTAAAGAAAACAAAACGCGAATTCAAAAAGATATATGCACCACTGTGTTTATTGCAGCATTATTTACAATAGCCAAAATATGGAAGCATCCCAAGTGTCTATTCATAAATGAATGGATAAAGAAGATGTGATATATATACATACATATACATATATGTATGTATATATATCATATATATTTTTTCTTTTTTTCTATATTTACTCAGCTATAGAAAATAATGAGATCTTACCATTTGCAACAACATGGATGGATCTGGAGGGTATTATACTAAGTGAAATACATCAGACAGAGAAAGACATACAATGTGATTTCACTTATATGTAGAATCTAAAAAACAAACAAAATCCCAGACTCTTGGGGCATCTGGGTGGCTCAGTCAGTTAAGCATTAGACGCTTGGTTTTGGCTCAGGTCGTGATCTCAGGGTCATGAGGTGGAGCCCCGCATTGGCGCCGTGCTCAGTGCAGAGGCTGCTTGAGATTCTTTCCTTCCCTCTGCCCCTCCCCCTGCTCTCTCTCTCTCTCTCTCTCTCAAATAAATAAATCTTAAGGGGGAAAAAATTAAAAAACAAAAAACCAGACTCTTAAATGCAGAGAACAAACTGATGCCTGGGATGATGAGTGAAATAGGTGAAGGGGATTTAGAGGTACAAGCTTCCAGTTATAAAATAAGTCACTGAGATGGAAAGTGTGGCATAGGGAGTTTAGTCAATAATATTATAATAACGTTGTATGATGACAGTAACTATACTTACTGCGGTCAACACTAAGTAATATAAAAAATTGTTGGATCAGTATGTTATGCATCTGAAACTAATAAAACATTGTGTGTTAATTATATTGTCTTTTTAAAAAGGCATTGTTGGAATAAAATATGGGATCTTATGTACATTTTAAAATTCTGATATAGGAGCACTTGGATGGCTCAGTCGATTAAGAGTCTGCCTTCAGCTCAGGTCAGGATCCCAGGGTCCTGCATCAAGCCCCGCGTTAGGCTCCCTGCTCGGCAGAGAGCCTGCTTCTTCCACTCCTTCTGCCAATCCCTCTGCTTGAGCTCTCTCTGTCTCGTCTCTGTCTCTGTCAAATAAATAAATCTTTTAAAAAAATAAAATTCTGATACAGTTATATCTCATAAAGTAAAATGATGTTGACCATCCTTTGAAAGTTGTAATTAGGCTTATTGTTTAGTTTCAGTGCTATAGACATCCAAAAAGTAATTGCCTTTAAAAATTATGATGCCATTGTTCACAAATAATAGCATGCCTAACACCCTTTTTTTTTTTTTAAGATTTTATTTATTTATTTGACAGAGATCACAAGTAGGCAGAGAGGCAGGCAGAGAGAGAGAGGGAAGCAGGCTCCCTGCCGAGCATAGAGCCCGATGCGGGACTCGATCTCAGGACCCTGAGATCATGACCTGAGCCGGAGGCAGCGGCTCAACCCACTGAGCCACCCAGGTGCCCTGTTTGATCATCCTTAACAAGAAAAGAAAAGAGTTTGACAAAATTAAACCCTCCTTCATTAAAATAAAGTACAGCAAACTAGGAAAGAACTTCCTTACTGAGAAAGAGTGTATTCGAAAACCCTATGGTTAAGACACCTGTAAGATTCAGAACAAAGCTAGGCCGTCTCCTCTCAGCCACTGGTATTTAACATTGTGTTTGGGGTCCTGGCCAGAAAAAGAAAGAAAAGGCATAAAGATTGGAAAGAAGTAAAACTGTTTGCAGATAATGTGATTGAGTATGTTAAGTGGTTAAAATTTTAAAGCCTCATATTATCAAATGTTGACAATGGTATAGAGCAACTAGTACTGTCATACGCTGCTGTTAGGTGTGTAAGATTGTACAATCACTGTGGAAGACAGTTTTTTATAGCTAACCCTTCTGCAGAAAGACTTGTACCTGAATGCTCATAGAAGCTTTATTTATAATAGACCATAACTGGAAATAACCCCAATGTCCATCAGTAGGTGAATGGGTAAACAAATTGTGATATGTCCATGCAGTGGAACATTATTCAGCAAAAAAAGAGGAAAAAACAAACTGATACATGCAAAGCATAGATAAATCTCAAAACATTGCTATAAGCAAAAGAATCCTTACACAAAAGTTATGCATTATATGATTCCAATTATATAAGATCCTAGAACAGGAAAAAAAAAAAAAGTGTTTCTGGGGACAAGAAGCACATTAGTCCTTGCTTGGGACCAGGAGCGATATACTGATGTCAGAGGGGCATAAGAGAACTTTTCTGGGATTTTAAAATGTTTGGTATCTTGGGTAGTTACTAGAATTTTTTCATTGTGAAAGCTCATTGTGTCTTATTGTATGTAAATTATACCTCAATAAAGTTGATTTTTTACAAAAATAATAGATTTAGGGGTGTCTAGGTGGCTCAGTCAGTTAAGTGTCAGCCTTCGGCTCAGGTCATGATCCCAGGGTCCTGGGGTTGAGCCCTGCATCTGGCTCCCTGCTCAGTGGAGAGCCTGCTTCTCCCTCTCTCCACTCTTCCTGCTTGTATGCTCTTTCTCTCTCTGTCAAATAAATAAAATCTTTAAAAATAAGTAAATAAATTTTAAAAAATAAAAAAGAGAGATTTGGGCATTCAATTTTAAAACAAGTAGACAAAATCATTGTTAGGAAAAACAAACAAACAAACAAAACTGACCAGATTAAAAAATTCCATTGGGTTGATGAAGAAGTTCTAGAGCCAGGTGAGGGTGATGGTTGCAGAACAGTGTGAATGCACTTAATGCTATAGAACTCTACACGTAAAAATGGTTAAAATGATAAGTAAATTTTATGTATATTTTATCACATTTTTAAAAAGGTTAAAAAATGGCTATGAAAACAAAATCAGGAATTAGGAGAATATATAGGGGTTTTTTTTGTGTTTTTTTTTTTTTTTAATTTTCACATGGCATGTGCTTTGTGCCCCTCAAAAATATCTTTTAAAGGATTAAGGGAGGGTCTAAAATATTACAAGCTTGTGGAATTTCTTTGATCAAAGGTAAAAATGCTTAATTTGATTGTAAATGGGAAGTACCTAATATGTTAGCCTCTCTTCATTAAATACAGCAAAGAGGGCGCCTGGGTGGCTCAGTGGGTTGGGCCTCTGCCTTTGGGTTGAGCCTCTGCCTTGGGCTCGGGTCATGATCTCGGTGTCCTGGGATCGAGTCCCGCACCAGGCTCTCTGCTTGGCGGGGAGCCGGCTTCCTCCTCCTGTCTCTCTCTGCCTGCCTCTCTGCCTACTTGTGATCTCTCTCTCTCTCTCTGTCAAATAAATAAATAAATAAAATCTTTAAAAAATAAATAAATAAATACAGTGAAGATCAGGATTCTGGCATTTATGCTTTGAATGTCATATGTGAGTATAATAAACCAGAAGTGTTACGTGGCCAAGTGTCACTTCCTATAATTCAGAGTATCCCAGCAATTACATTTCTAGAACTGAATTTAGATGGAAAGCTGTGTCTCTTAAACTGCTCTGCCCTTTTGGTTTCTAGTTAGTGATTGCCTACTGGTATATGTTTTTAAGATTTTATTTATTCATTTGAGAGAGAGAGCATGAGCAAGGGAGAGACACAGAGGGAGAGGGAGAAGCAGGATTCCCCGCTGAGCTGGGAGCCAGACTCAGGATTGATCCCAGGACCTGGAGATCATGACCAAAGCCGAAGGAAGACGCTTAATTGTCTGAGCCACCCAGACGGCCCCCCTCCTGATATTTTTTAAAGCTAGAAGTTTTATACTCGGTTTGCAATTTCTAAATCAACTGAGGTCTAAAACTAGATGAATTTGGTTGAAATTATTTTCATTACTACTGCTCTTCATTTTCCTGTCTTCATCAGAACAAAACTTACTGTAGTTTCTTGGATGATATTGGCACAAATTTCTTAGCTAAAAAGGAGGATCTGAGGAGGATATCACTTGGGAATATGACTGCTTTCTTGCTCGGTGATTTGCTTCCACTTCCAGGTTTTGAGAGTAATAGGCCGTTAAAACATCTACATGCCAGATACCTGGGTGGCCCAGTTGATGTATCTGCCTTCAGCTCAGGTCATGATCCCAGTGTCCTGGGATTGAGCCCCACATCGGGCTCCCTGCCCAGTGGGAACCTGCTTCCCATCCCCCCTCCTTCTCCCTCTGCCTGTTGCTCCCCCTGCATGTGCTGTCTCTCTTTCTGTGTCAAATAAGTAAAATCTTGAAAAGAAAATAAAAAGATCTGCATGTCAAAAAGAGCTTATGATTGGCTGGATTGTAATATAGGAAGTAGATGTCTTTGCAGTAAAGTAAGTAGAGCTTGAAATACAGAAGAATGGGAGCATCTATAAAAATGTTCCAAGGAGGAAAACATTTTCTCTTCATGGTTCATTCTGTTCTAGGTAAACACCACCAAGTGAGTGAAACACAGAATGTGATTGCATCAGACAAAGCAGCAGAAATACCAGTTGCCCATGAACATGAGCACAGCCATGACCACACACAGCTGCACGCCTACATTGGCGTTTCCCTTGTGCTGGGCTTCGTTTTCATGTTGCTGGTAGACCAGATTGGCAGCTCCCATGTGCATTCTACTGACGGTGAGTGGCCCCCAGGCTTTCTGGGCAGTACAGTAAATTTACAGTTTAGAAAGTCACAGATGATTGAATAATTCAATATGTATCAGTGGCCTTCTTTAGTGCCAAAAACTCTTGTCTTTCTTGGGTACTAGTGAACATTTTATTCAGTTGGGGGAGCTGGTGAGTTGTGACATGTGGCACAAGAGAGTGCTCATTGGGTTATTACCATGCTTATCTCAAAGCTGTCTCATTTTGTTGAGTCTGGGGCAGAAATTCTTAACCTTTTTTGTGCTGTGGAGCCCTTAGGCATTCTGAAGCCTGTGGACATTTTATTGGAATCATGTTTTTAAACATGTAAACCATAATGTGTAGGATTACAGGGAAAACCCAATTATGTTGAAATATAGTTCCAAAACATTAAAAACAAATTTATGATATAGTAATGTATGTCTTCTTTATTGATGCATTAATCAATCAAGTAATATATTTAAATCATATGCAAGGTGGAGTTAAATTTTATTATTTTAGGACAGCAGCATGACAGCTTTTATTGCTTAGCTTGGCTAAAAACAAAATTGTGAGAGGGGATTCAACAAGGCAACAGAGTGTCAAGTTGAACATCCAGTTGATCTGGTTTTTTGTTTTGATGGTTACTAGTGTAGAAATTCTTGCTTCAGGAAGATATTTTCTTAAAAATACACTTAAACACATTCATACCTTGCTTTCCAAGGAAAGATACACTTCCTCAACTACAACTATAATTCTCCAAAACTTAAAATTTAACTCCAGGCATAGTAACTTTAGAAAAAAAGTTTTTTAAATTATTAATTAATTAATTTATTTATTTTTAAAGTAAACTCTAGGGGCACCTGAATGGCTCAGTCATTAAGCATCTGCCTTTGGCTCAGGTCATGATCCCAAGGTCCTGGGATAGAGCCCTTCATCGGGCTCCCGGTTGGCAGGAAGCCTGCTTCTCCCTCTCCCACTCCCCCTGCTTGTTTTCCCTCTCTTTGCTGTGTCTCTTTCTGTCAAATAAATAAATAAAAATCTTAAATAAATAAATAAAGTAAACTCTACACCCATCATGGGGCTCGAACCCATGACCGCAAGAAATCACATGTTCCACCAACTGAGCCAGCAAGGCACCCCCAGATATAGTAACTTTTTTGTATTAAAATCAATGAATTCATTATGAAACAAGACAGGTGAACATAGGGGAAGGGAAGGAAAAATAAGACAAAAACAGAGAGGAAGGCAAACCATAAAAAACTCTTTATAGGAAACAAAGTGAGGTTTGCTAGAGGGGCTGTAGGTGGGGGCATGGGGTAATCGGTGGTGGGCATTAAGGAAGGCACGTGTTGTAATGAGCACTGGGTGTTTTATACAACTGATGAATCACTAAGTTCTACCCCTGCAACTAATAATAAACTATATGTTAACTAAATTGAATTTAAATAAAAAAATTTTTAAAAAGATCAATGAATCTATCTTTGGCTGGGTCAGCATCTTTAATATGGCTTATATTATTTAAAAAAAAAAGATTCTAATCCTTGATACAATGTTAATGCCACCGTGATAGAATAAATTTGGAAGAGTTGCATCAAACTCCCCTAGAGTTTGGTGATAGAGGGGTTTATAGATAATCTCTTTTCAAATACACTGACAGAACTTTGCGGAGAGCAGCATAGAGGTGTCGGTCCAGTGAGAGATCCCCTGACTCCTGCTGTTTAGTAGCTGAATGACAGGCAGAGTTGCCTGAGAGGTGCCCAGCTTCGTCACGTGAGCATCTGCAAACACGAAGACTGTCATCGTGCAGTGTGGTGGCACTTTATATGCCCTTAAAGTAGTGATGAGTGGAAGCAATGGTAGGAAGATATCCACGGCTGTAAAATAACATGAAGTTATCGGAGTACTCCTGGCAGTGAAGTATAGGTGATGCCAGTATTTGCAGTTTATGGTCTGTACCCATAATCCAAGTTTCACTTAGAGGTTAGTAAAAATTAAAATGCACTTTTTTTCCGAGTCAGGGTCTCAGGCACCCCCTGCATTGCACCTGTGTTCTTCTACGTGGACCCTAGGTTAAGAATGCATGACCTACAAAAAAAAAATCTGTGGAAAAGCAGGCAAAAGACATGAACAGATAATTCATAAAAAGGTAATTAAAGTGGTCCTTAAACATATGAAAGATGTGCAATTTCACTTAAGAATGTATATCAAAACTCTGCCGAAATGCCACTTCGAACCTGTCAGGCAAAAATTCAAAAGCTTGAGAATATACTTTGTTATCAAAGCTACAGTGAAACATACCTTTACCTATTGCTATGGGAGTACAAAATTGTACGGCCACTGCAGAGGGGAGTTTGGCCATATCAAACAAGACTACGTTTGTATCTATCCTTCAACTCCAAAAATGCCACTTCTGAGAATTTATTCTGATAATGCAGCTCCAATAGGAAAATACACATGCATGAGGTGATTCTGTGCAGCATTATTTATCATTGTAAAACCACTTAAATGTCCAGTCATGGACGTTGGTTGAATGAAGTGTGATGTGTGCACAGAATGGAGTTCTACAGGTCACCCTGAAAAAGGATGAGGAATCAGTTCTTTGTGAATTGATAGGGAGAGATTTCTAGGAGATATTTTTAAGAGGGGAGGGAGCCAAAATGTAAATTAGTATCTATCATATACTACATTTTGTGTAAGAAAGAGGGGGACTAAAACACACACATCTGCTTATTTTTACAGAAAGGTTACCGAAAGCTCAGCTAGACAACAGAGTTACCTGTAAGAGGTGGGTAGGATGGGATAGAAAAGTTTCAGGAGGGCATGGCACTTCCCTGGGCATGCCTCTTTGATGTAGTCTTGACTTTTGGAAACATGCTGCAATTTCCCATATTCAAAAAATAAAATGAAACCAACAAGGTTAGGGGAAGCTAACTGAAGCAGGTGAACTATAATTCAAATGAATAACACAATCACACTGAAGGGGATTTAAGAAAAAACTCAGATGACATATGAATATAGTATTTGACTGTATATTTTTAGTTTTGAATGGAGTTGGAGGAGAAGCATAAAAAATTACTGAACTCTTTTTAGTAGGCTTTGCTTTTTGTGAAGGTACAGGTGAAAACAATTCTGAAACTGTTTTAGATGTATTCTAGGATTAAGCAAGTGTTACTCTCACTTGAGTAAGTGTGTTGCTGTTGGTGGAAGCAGAGTTCTTACTGTGGAAGAGGGGACGTACAAATATGGAATGGGGGAAGGCAAGAAAGAACCCCTATAGGGATGGACTGGAATTGGAGCTTTTGGACTCATGGTTTCTAAAATGTATGTGTGTATATGTGTACATATATACGTGTGTGTTTATATATACATGTATGTATGTCCTAGCTCTGTCTGCAGAGAGGGCCTAGAAGTAAAGACACCCCAGTAGCAATGAGCATACCAGTGCTCTTCAGAGAAATGGCTGATTCCAGGAGAGGGGCAGGGTAAGTACAAAATGAGCTTGGAACATCTAGTGCTCAAAAAAAAAAGTAGGAAGGAAGGGAAAAAATGGAAGCTTGTCACAGAGTTTAGAACCAGCTTGAAGGGGTTCCCGCTGGCCAGATCTAAGACCGTTTGAGCACCAAAAATAATTACGAACAGTAATGAAACAAAAACCATTGAGAAAATGGGAAGCACTGAGCACGTCCATGTGAGAGAGAAGAGGAGGAGGGAGAACACTTGCTTCCAGTGGGTTGCTAAATGCCAACTTGTAAGTGTAGAAAGAGTGCTGGCAGGAGAAAATTCTTTTTGCAAGCTTCATGGTAAAAATTGGCACATGCCAGAATCAACAAATGTTAAATCTAGGGAGTAAATTTTGATTTGTTTATTAGTTGCAAGGGAAAAAGGAGTAATGAAATAAAGAAATCCGGTCGTACTTGACCAGATGATCAAGGTTAAAGTCATCGGTGTCTGTTTGCAATGTGGGCAAGTAAGTGCCTATCAGACCAGCCTCCCCACAGATAACTGGGAAAATTTTTAAAAACCTCTATGAAAAGACACTAGGGAGTGGCCTAAAGCAGGAAAATTCTGAAGGGGCGTCAACCCTTAGAATAGGGTAAATTTCTGTTTTTACTGCTTTTAAGCAGTCAGCGCCCAGTTAGGGTAGCTAAAACTGATAGAAAACTCGGTCTCTCTGGCCTAAGGAACTAGAGGTCAGGTAGCTACAGCCACTGGAAATTGAGGGAAGAATCTTAGAAAGGAGAGGTAGAGAGAAACACAGCCCCAGATTTTATGTATAAACTCAGCCCAAGTCTAGCTGAGCCCCGAACCATTCTTTTGCAGGCAGGCTAAAGAGGAAAGAACTGACCTGGGATTCGGGCAGCTGCCCGAAAGACAGACTTGGCAGTTTAAGCCAAACCAAGTGACTTCAGGCAAAACACAAAGTGGACACTCTTTGGAGGCATATAATTGAATCCGGAGTATCCACAAAATGATATTCACCATTTCCAGGATATAATCCAAAATACGCTGTACTAGCAAGCAGCAGATAGACATACATTCTGTGCCTCTAGACATCCTGAGAAGCAGCACCTGTGTGGTGTTCCATCTGAGGATGCATAATCTCAGGTCGCATCAGACAAACCCAAAAGGAAAGGATCATTCTTTTTCTTTTCTTTTTTTTTTTTTTTTTTAAGATTTTATGTATTTGACAGAGAAAGAGCACAAACAGGGGGTGCAGGAAAGGGAGAAGCAGGCTCCTTACTGAGGAGGGCGCCCGACGTGGGACTCCATCCCAGGATCCTGGGATCATGACCTGAGCTACCCAGGCGCCCTGGAAGGGATCATTCTATTAAAAAACAAGAAAAGCCCAGAAAGGGACATGTATTCTTTAGAGATACCCGTGTTGCAAAATCGAAGGCAAAGAAAATGCTCCAGATTAAAGGGGACTAAAGAGATACAACTAAGTGCATATATGATCCCAGACTGGATCCTTCCTGGGAGGGAAAAATGCTCTGAAAGACATTCCTGGACAGTTAACAAAATTAAAATATGCAAGAGAAATGAGAAAAAAAGTATCAATATTAAATTTACTGAAGTTGATCATTGTAATGTGATTATGTAAGACAATATCCTTTCTCTTAGGTATTTGAAATATCTGGGGGTAAAGAGTTTTCATGTATGCAACTTACTTTGAAAAAAGTGTGTGTGTGTGTGTGTGTGTGTGTGTGTGTGTGAGAGAGAGAGAGAGAGAGATTTGGATACAGAAAGAACATGAGCACAAATAATGAAGCAAATGGGGCAAAATGTTGGGTAGTAGGTCATTCTGAGAAATGAGTAATAAATGTTTTTTGAACATTCTTGAAACTTTTCTGAAGGTTTGAGAGATTATTTCAAACTTTCATTTGAAAGATTACTTGAAAGATTTGAAATTATTTCCAAATAAATGGTTTTATTTGTTTTTTTTTTTTTTTTCCAAATTCATTGAACTTAATTAGCCTTTTTAGTCCAAGGGTACTTTTTGTTTTGTTATTCTCCTTGCACATATTATTTCTTTTCAGTATTTTTCCATACACTTTTTCTTTTTCAACGGTCTTACATGTATTGGGAAATTGATTTAGGGATAAATGATTTTATTTGCGTGCTTTTACTAAATAGCAAATGAGAAGCACCCTCTGGTGGGATGGTATTTGATTCCAACTGCATTACATAGTTGCTCCCAGTGGCATTTATGACATTTTCGTGATTCTCATCAGTTTCCATTTTAAATGCATTTAAAGGCCCACTGGTGCCCTATAATCCTATACAAAGAATTAAAAATAGCTTGTGTTCCTTTATTCTTCCTCCTGTTTCATCTCTGAAGTCACTATTTTTGCTTGCTTTCATGTATCCAACAATTTGGTTTTACCTATTATCTACAGGGTTTTATATATTGTTAAATATCAGTAAAAATTCATTTATTAAATTTATGCTGAAGTACAGTCTTTTCCTATAGATTTGTAAAAACTGTGTTTTAATTTTAAAGCCACTAATATTTATTTAAGATGCTATTTATAACCATACCTCAAGACTGTATAAAGGAAAGTCAAAACAAGCTTGGCACACAGTATAATATGATACTCTTCACAGTTTGGGGCTACATTGAAATATTTGGTGTCTCCGACCAATTAGGGGCCTTACTGTCCCTTCCTTGTAGTGTTTAACCAGAAGGTAATTTTATTTTTACTAAAAAGATAACATATTACTTCACTTACATATGTTTTTTTCCACTATAAACCATTCCTTCTGTGTTCTGGTTTTTTCCAGAAGATTAAGTCCTTTGGAATTTATTTGGCTAATGTCCATCTGTCATTTCATCTGGCTTTTTGATGTCCCCATCTTTTAATTTTATGTTGTTTGGACATTATTTACTCGCTTGTGTATTTCCTGCTATAGCAGAAACATTAATGTAACACAGAGAAATATTTTTTCCCCTCTCCAATAAGGATTTTTTAAGCAGCTGTTGGGTTTCCAGTGCTGTGCTACATTCTGTAAGATGTAAAAAAGAAATGGAAAGAAGTGGAAAACTCACTTTTGTGTAGTCTACAGTCAATCTGGGGATATCAGACCTATTTGAGTGAAAACAGCTGCATATATCTCAGGTGTGATCTAGGAACAGATCTGAAGTAGCATGTAGAGTCTGTGCACATAGAGCTCTTGGCTTAAGGGGAACCTTTTGACCTGGAAATAATCTTTGATTCTTTCTGGAGGGAAGTGGTCCTAGAATTAGACTTTGAACAGTGGCTAGGTTTCAGATTGATGAGCTGAGAAGTTTAAGTTCATGCCCAGAATTAAGGAAGAGAGATTTGGGGAAAGGACAATGAGAAGGTTTTGTTAGAAGGTGTTAAAGAAACTGGTGTAACTGGACTAAGTAGTGAGGAATCAGATGATACCAGCTAATAAAGATACTAGGCACCCAGTGTGGACTGAATCTGAAAAGCAGTAGATAACTGGCATTTCGGAAGAGTGGGGTGATTCAGAGTTGAATCCGACAAGGATGTGGAAGATGAGTTAGATGAGGGAGAAATGAGAACAGGGGGAGACCAGCTGGGAGCCTTTTGCTCATTGACGTTCAGGTGGATGCAGATTTAGGTTAGGACGGTGGCAATAAAATAGAGAAGGGCAAAACATGACAGACATTTTGGTACTAGAATGAAGATAAAGTTGCAGGAGGCTGGGGGAGAGGGGTAGGTGGGCAGTGACGAGATAGGTCTGTGGAGACACACCAAGAGGCCACGGAACACTTTCCAGGGAGAGCTGGAGGGTTAAGAGGCAGTTGAGGCAGTTGGGGGTCCCATATTGTCTGTTCAGGGAAGGCTGGGACTAATGAAGTGTCCCTTCCTGCCCCGCCTCTTTCAGGACAGGGGAAACTTCTAAGTGTTTGAAGCCAAAGAGAAAAGACAGTCATAGGGAAAATACAATCAAAACTTGAAGAGCTTTCAAAGAATTCTACCTCCAGGTCATTTGTTCTAACACTTTCTGTTTCACATTGCATCGTGGCTGACTTGTTTATTTGTACTTCAGATCCAGAAACAGCAAGGCCCAGCAATTCCAAAATCACCACCACCCTGGGTCTCGTTGTCCATGCTGCAGGTAGGTAGGGTTGGGTGGTGGTGAGACCCCTTTCTCTTAGGTCCTGGCATGGGACGCTTAGTGTGTACATCCCAGGGACTGTCCGCATGAACTGCCCTTGGGCTGGCCTTTGGCGAGAGGGTTGCTTCATGAAGTCCTCCCACACAAGCACTGGCCCAGGCAGACTCAGTGTCGGGGATTTGCAAGCTAAGAACAGTTTATGTATATATATATATATATATTTTTTTTTTTTTAAGATTTTATTTATTTATTTGTCAGAGAGAGAGAGAGGGAGAGCACAAGCAGGCAGAGCGGCAGGCAGAGGCAGAGAGAGAAGCAGGCTCCCCACTGAGCAAGGAGCCTGATGCGGGACTCGATCCCAGGACCCTGGGATCATGACCTGAGCCGAAGGCAGTGGCTTAACCAACTGAGCCACCCAGGCGCCCAGTTTTTATATTTTTTTTAATGGAGGAAAATATTTTGTGGCACATGAGAATTACACACTATTTGAATTCTAGTGCCTCTAAATAAAGTTTTTTGGAACACAATGATGCCCACTTGTTTACCTATTATCTGTGACTGCCTTTGCCCAGTGATGGCAGAATGGGCAGTGACTGCAAGGGAGCAGATGGCTTGCAAAGCCTGAAATATTTTGTCTTTGGCCCTTTAAGAAAAAATGTGCTGACTTCTGCCCTTAGAGCCTCATCTGGAAAAGAGCCTTGACATTTTGGTACTGAGGAGCCCTGTTGCTCAGTATAAACCCAAAGTGCCTGTTGAGGCAGGGGTGTGCTGTAGAGTGCAGATGGTGCGGGATCGCTGACTGGGCATGCCTTAGAATCGTAACTGAAGACCAGTCCCACAGTAGGTGTCTGTGACCGACAAGGCGTGTGGAAGAGGACACACTGTCACCTGGACCTTTCTAGTGTAACGTGCTTATCTGACAGAAGTTCACCCATTCTGCCAATATTTACTTCTTGAGCATAAGTCACCTATGTGGAGTTGGAGTCTTTATTTTGTTTGTTTTTTTTTCATCTACAAGATGCAGAGATGCTTACTTTGCAATCTCTGCAATTTCTGTTTTAACAGCTGACATTGCATACTTGGGGCCAGGTGCTATGCTGTTTACATATGTTATCTCATTTAACCCTCATGGAAATCCCAAGAATACGTACTTCCTTGAGCCCATTTTAGAGATGAGAAGGCTAAGGTTCAGAAAAGTTAAGGAACCTTCCCAGAGTCACACAGCTCTACCTGACTCTAAAGCCCACACATGATACTACTACATTGTTGTTGTTTTTATACTGTTTTACATTTTCTTTTTTTCCAAATTTAGCGGATGGAGTGGCCTTAGGAGCAGCAGCCTCTACTTCACAGACTAGCGTCCAATTAATTGTGTTTGTGGCAATAATGCTACATAAGGTAAGCGGAATTTTAGTGGAAGATATGATATTGAATATATTCATAATTAAAATTTCTCTTGGTCATTGGTATTTTTTGGAACGGGAAGATTTTTTTAGTTGTTTTCATAATTGCCATTCATTTGAGATAATTGACAGGCTCTGTTCATAGCTAGCGTTTTTTGTTACTCTTTTCTTAAACTCACTTGAAGGGACTTTTTTTATGGTCATGTACACAAACTTTTTTTTTTTCCAGATAGTTTTTAATTTTATTTTGTTAAATTATCAATGGTAAATCAGTTAGTCTACCGATTTTTTTTTTAAGATTTTATTTTTATTTATTTGACAGAGATCACAAATAGGCAGAGAGGCAGGCAGAGAGAGAGAGAGAGGAAGGGAAGCAGGCTCCCTGCTGAGCAGAGAGCCCAATGTGGGGCTCGATCCCAGGACCCTGGGATCATGACCTGAGCCGAAGGCAGAGGCTTTAACCCCCTGAGCCACCCAGGCGTCCCAGTTAGTCTACCAATTTTAACACTTGTATGGATCTGTGCAACCACAATCAGGACATAGAACAGCTGCATTATTCCAAAACCTCCTCCCACCACCCCCAACCTATGGAAACCACTCAGCGGCCTCCCCGCGGCTCTGTCTTTTTGAGACTGTCATACGATTGGAATCATATAGTACATACTCTTTTGAGACTGGCTTCTTTCACTCATAATATCAACCTTTTCATACACTAAAAGGTTCTGTCCTGTGCTTTCCATCCTGTTCTGATTTCCTTGTTACAGTATCCCGCTGTTTCCATTACTTTCTGTAACCTTACTGATGCCGCTCCAGCGTCTCTGGGGTTTGTCTGTGATATCTGAGTATCATTCGCTGATCCTTTATCGCCCAGCAGTAGTCCCTGGTACGGATGTACCACAGTTGTTCCTCCAGTCACCTGCTGATGGACACTTGGGTTGTTTCCAGTTTTTTGGCAGTTATAACTGGAGCAGTGTAAGCATGTACAGGTTTTTGTGTGAACACAGCCGGTGTTTCTGTCATGTACACAAACTCTTAAATTCTCTATAGATTTCTATATATTTTTTTAAGATTTTATTTATTTATATATTTGACAGCGAGCGAGAGAGAGGGATCACAAGTAGGCAGAGAGGCAGGCAGAAGGGGAGGGAGAAGCACGCTCCCTGCTGAGCAGAGAGCCGATGCAGGGCTCGATCCCAGGACCCTGAGATCATGTCCTGAGCCGAAGGTAGGGGCTTAACCCACTGAGCCACCCAAGCACCCCAAGATTTCTATATTTTAAAGTAATTTTTCTTCATAAATGTTTTTGTTTTCTTGTACTCTTTTCTTGCTGAAACACACACATATACACACACACACAGACACAGGATATTTTCTTAGCTTAGAACATTAATTCCTAAAAGGCAGAACTCAGTCTTGGTACCATGCCTGGTTGTTTTTTTGTTTTTGTTTTTTTTTTTGGTGAGTATTCAGTCAAATGACACATGCTTTGTAATATAGAAGTGACCCATACTTTAAGAGTAATTAGGAATACTTTTTCTTTTCTAGGCACCAGCTGCTTTTGGGCTGGTTTCCTTCTTAATGCATGCTGGCCTAGAACGGAATCGAATCCGGAAACACTTACTTGTCTTTGCACTGGCAGCACCAGTTATGTCCATGGTGACATACTTAGGACTAAGTAAGGTAAGTCTGACTCATTCCTAGCTTATCTAGACAAGTGTCTAATTCTTTTGTGATTTACCAGAACCTGTGGTCTTCTATGTTGAATTATGCAATTAAGTTACCCATTCAAACTAAAGATGAAATTAAGGGTAAAAGCCAGTACAAAGTAAACATCTTAATTCCATGGCATTCTCTTCATAAATTTAGAGCATTTTTCCTGTTCATTTATTTTAAAAATTTCTTCCCCATCAGTTCTGGAAATATTTGCACAGATATATGATCCTTATTTTTTTTATCTTTATTTATTTTTTATTTTTTATTTTTTAAAGATTTTATTTATTTGTCAGAGAGAGCACAAGCGGGGGAGCAGCAGGCAGAGGGAGAAGCAGACTCACTGCTGAGCAAGGAGCCCAATGTGAGACTCAATCCCAGGGCCCTGGGATCATGGTCTGAGCTGAAGGCAGACACTTAACTGACTGAGCCGCCCAGGCGTCCCCAGATATATGATCTTTAAAATAGCTTAACTGAAGCCTAACCAAACACACTAATTTTGTTTGACAGGTATATAATAAGTCACAACAGTACAAATTTAATGTTTAAGCGGGTGCATGAAGAGTGAGGGACAAGCGAACAGCAGTTTTGAGGAGAATAGGGGATGAGCAGAGATGTCTATATTCTCAAGTCACCAAATACTAAATATCCAGTTCTTTATCATTGCACTGAACATAACATTAGACCTCAAGTAACATGTGTTCTTTGTCAGTTCTGAGCCTGGGCATTCTTCCCTTTTGTTCAAAGTGGACCTTTCCCTGCCTTCCAATTCTGTCCCCTGGGGCTGTAGTTTTTTTTTTTTTTTAAGATTCTATTTATTTATTTGGCAGAGAGAGACAGCGAGAGAGGGAACACGAGCAGGGGGAGTAGGAGAGGGAGAAGCAGGCCTCCTGCCGAGCAGGGAGCCCTATTCGGGGCTCGATCCCAGGTGGAATCATGACCCAAGCTGAAGGCAGATGCTGAATGACTGAGGCACCCAGGCTTAGGGCTGCAGGTCTGAACAGCCCTCGCTGTGGTACGTCAGTGTCAACTGATCGCCACGGGAGGAAAACCGTAGAACCAAGCTAACTCAGGGCTAGTTCATGGGAGCTGCTTTCCCCCATACTCTCTCTGAGGGTCATTGGTTCTGAGTGTCATTCCATTCATAGTCGATACAGTAAAACTTGTATTAAAAAAACAAAATACGAGAAATGAGGTCGTTAAAACATGATTAAGTTCCCGTTCATCAGGTTCGTTGATTTGGATTGCTAACAGCTGAGGTGTTGTAAAAACCCCCTCTGATCATTTTGAAGAGGCTTTTCTTCTTTTTTTTTTTTTAAAGATTTTATTTATTTATTTGACAGAGATCACAAGTAGGCAGAGAGGCAGGCAGAGAGAGAGGGGAAGAAGCAGGCTCCCCGCTGAGCAGGGAGCCCAATGTGGGGCTTTATCCCAGGACCCTGGGATCTTGACCTGAGCTGAAGGCAGAGGCTTAACCCACTGAGCCACCCAGGCGCCCCGATGCTTTTCTCCTTTGAGTCAACAAGCAGTATCTAGTTCCTTTTTAAGTATTACCCTGTTTATCATAGAACTTCTGACAAGAAGGTATAATTCTGGAGGCATGGGGTTACATGTTACGATATGGTGTATTCTCTTCTCAAAAAATTAATTAACTGTCATAGTCCATAGGTCCACTTTTGTAATAGAAAAAATTGAAATTCATTGTGTCAGGATTAGCTTCTAAGCTGTTTCCAGCCTCTGTGAGGGCAGGTACCGCATCTGGATTACCAAGCACCACCCTAGAGCCTGGTGTATAGGGATGTTCGTTAAATGTTAGTAGAATAAATGAATGAATGTGTGAAATTGACACCTGCATTAATAATGCCATTGGTTCCATTGTAAGAATAATACAACCAGACTTGAAATTTGTTTGAAAAAGCAGTTGTGTTCGTGGCAATAAACAGCAGTTTATAAAACTTATAAAAAGCAGTTGTTGGGGTGCCTGGGTGGCTCAGTGGGCTAAAGCCTCTGCCTTCGGCTCAGGTCATGATCCTAGAGTCCTGGGATCGAGTCCCGCATCGGGCTCTCTGCTCAGCAGGAAGCCTGCTTCCTCCTCTCTCTGCCTGCCTCTCTGCCTACTTGTGATCTCTCTGTCAAATAAATAAATAAAATCTTAAAAAAAAAAAAAAAAGCAGTTGTGTACGTCATCAGTAGTCTTAAATTTGGAAGTTTCTCATCAATAACAAAATTGCTCTGATATCAAGTTGCCCCAGTGTCCCATATCGCACCAGTTGTGATACTGAGTGGTGTATTTTTCTTTTTAATCAGGACTTTACTGACCCTGAATTTTACTGGTTTTAATTTTTCTTCTTTCTCTCTTTCTCTTAATTCACAGAGCAGTAAAGAAGCCCTTTCAGAGGTCAATGCCACTGGAGTGGCCATGCTTTTCTCTGCCGGGACATTTCTTTATGTTGCCACAGTACATGTCCTCCCTGAGGTGGGCGGAATGGGGCACAGCCACAAATCCGACCCCACTGGCGGGAGGGGCCTCAGCCGCCTGGAGGTGGTCGCCCTGGTCCTGGGTTGCCTCATCCCCCTCATCCTGTCAGTAGGGCACCAGCATTAAACGTCGGATTCTGCCTTGGCTGTTTGCCGTCCTGGGAGGACAGCCAGCACGGGACAGCTGCTCACTCCCTCGGTCTCTTGTCTCACCTTGCCCATCTCCACCCATATTCCTAGAGTCCAGAGGGAGGTGAGATTAAAACCTGGAGCAATGGAAAGCTTTTAGAATAGAAACAACACTTTGCGACTGGACACAGACATTCCGTTGTGTTGTTTTTTTAAAGGGCCCTTGGCATTTTGAGTTTTGATGTTTCTCTTAACCCTATTCTCAGGGAAGATGAGATTTCATTTTAAGGAAAAGTGGACAACTTCATACTCACAGTGAAACAGTAATTATGAAAGTACAGTGTTCCATAATTAAGCTAAATCTCTTTCTTGGTTTAGAGGCTCTGCCACTTACTTTGTCCATTGATTTTGTCGCCGTGTGAGACCGGTGCTTTAGCATCTCTGCCACATACCTTGGGAAAGGTTATAATGCCCACTGTCTTAGATGCTAAAGAGAATTGTAGTTTATTTGGGGCAAGAGTCAGGAAAATGACAGCAAGGCACATGAAAAGCTGACTTTTTACTCGAGAGCTGTCCATTGAAAAGAGGATGTCTGGAGAGACTTAACATCTCCTTTTGCACCTGCCTCTTTAAAGAGAGACTGCTGTCCCATCCTGGAGCCACAGAGATGAACTAGCATTGAAGGAGGCAACGAGAATTTCCTCTCAAGGTCTCCTTTGCAGAATTCCTGCCTCCCATGCAGAGGAGCCAAGTTCAGGTAGGTTCAGGCCCACTTGGGCCTTCCTTCCAGAACAGCCAGGTCCCAAAGTGTCTTTTGAAATGAAAGGATGTTAATTTTAAGTGAATTTGGATAGTAACTGACATCTTTGTCATAATCTTTTCAAAAGTAAGATTACCAAGACCTATGTTGTCTCTTTTTTTCTTTTTATATATTTAAATTAGCACACTAGCAGTCCCTATGGCAAAATACTTGGTGTCCCTTGGGGAGCGCTAGGTCAGCATCACATAAGCACCTGTAGCAGTAAAGAAAGTCAAGACGTATGACAAGTGGGAAATGTTCGCCTCTTGATTTAAAGCTTATTGAAATCATGTCTGTTGTCTCTTCATCTTCTCCATGCTTTTCTCTGGACTCCTCCCCCATGCCCCTCCTCCCTGTCTATAATTTGCTGCTTACTGCGGTGGCAACGTTAGTTATCTATGTGAATTGAATTCTCATCAGGACAACCACTTCTTGAACTGTGTTGATGAAGATAACATTGTTTCTGTTCTTTATTCCCTTCAATGAAGCTACCTTTGTGTCAAATGCAACTTTGTTAAGCCCTTAAAATATCACTTCTACGTATATGAGATGACACAATCACTAATATTCTGGTCATTTAAACAGTTGAGATAGTAAAAGTGTTTAACCAACTGGGATGGTTTTTCCATATTTGCCAAAATCCCTGTAAACTTTGTGTTATCAACTAAGTGTATAGTACTTTGTTATTAATTTATTTTGATTTTCTGTACCATTTCAAAACACATTATATAAAGAGGGAACCAAGGCTCTTTTCTTCAGGGCAGTGGGTTTAGGAGTTCGTAAGATATGTTATATGATGTACATGCCAGCATGCCTATAATTTCTTTATTTCCTTCCTAGATTTGTCACTGGGTCCGCAGCTATAGAAATAGAGCTTGTGAGCCCTCTGCTGGCCGTAGACCAAAGTAGCATTCATAGGATATGGTTTTGTATAGTGGCTGGCAACCACTGCATATGATATCAAAACCAACAGAAGGTACAGTCTGGAAAGTCTGAGTGTCTTTCCTGATAACAACTCTGACTTACAGGAGTTATGGGGCTTCATCTGGTCCTCTGAGATGTCATGGTTGCCTTGATTCTCCCTGCAAATTTACTTTGTTAAATAAATAGTACATCTTAGTGTCTGGTTTGGTTTGGGTAGCAGCACTTTCTGTCATCCTGTTGCGTGCAATGATGAGAAATTCATTCTGCCGGCCAAAGCCTCATTGAGCAGTGCCTTGCCATCATTAAAAGTTTGGCTAGAATATATTGCAGGGGTGGGGGCGGGGGGAGCTTGAACTCTGGCAAGGACTGAACCATCAAACCTCCAAATTTGCCTTCCCCTGTGGACCTCACATTAACAAGCACACCTTTTAAGGCCTGTCAGCCCTCGGGAGCTGTGGGCTTTCCCAGATTTTAAAGCTGCTGCCTCCGGAGCTACTCATTTCTCTCCTGGTCAGCAGGCAGAAATGGCCGTACTAACCTCAGAGGGCTCAAAGGCACCTCCAGGCAGCAGGGGACCGAGCAACGTGGCAGAGGCCTTCTTCACAGGGGGACGAACTTGCTCGTGCTGGGTGGTGTCCCAGAAGGGGCCGCAGTGGTGGTCACTTACTAGCACATTTCAGTTCTGTTTTCCTCTCGTGTTTACTGCCTCCTTCGATGTAGATGCCTTAATGCGTTCACACATTTGGAAACATTGGCAGTCTTAGGTTGCTGCCGTGATTACTGATGGAATTACCGGCTACCAAAGAGATGCAGCTGATGACGGGCACGGCCCTCCTTCCTCATAACCAGACTTGGTCTTCATTGCAATTTGTCTCCATTTCCTTGGTAGGGGCAGATTTCTTCAGATTCCGAATGCACTCTTAAATGGCAAATGAAGGTGGAAAACGCTACTGGTCCATTCCCCTCCCTTGTTTTCCAGCGGATAGCATATCAGTCCCTACTTCCCCGAAGCAGCGCCCTTCCAGGGCTGGCTGCTTTCCTGTGCGCGCTGCTGCCAGATTTCTTTAGGCAAAGGCTCTGCACTGGAGCGTAGAGAATTGGAAACCGTTCCATCTACAGAGCCTATGTGTTCTCTCTTCCCCCATCACCTTTTTATCTCCCTATTCAAATCAGTTGAGTCAGCCCGGTTTCCTGTATTTTGAATCATTAGAGAAAGGACAGAGGTGGTCATTTTGAGGGGTTAGTTCTTTGTAGAGAGGAGACGATGAAATTGTGTCTTTTACCAGCCTACTTCTAAGTGTCACTGCCTGGTTTTTCTCTTTTTCAAGGATTAGAACTAGGAAGACACACCAGCATTAGAGTGTTACGCCCCTCAAACCCATGGTAGCTAGGTACTAAACAGGGGAGCTGTCTAGAACCAGAAAATGTTCTTGCCTACAGGTCCTCTGGGCCTCTTAAGAGATGAGAATAGTGAGACCAGATTCTCCCAGACTGCTGCAATGGAAGGTGATCTATAAGAGAACCATCCTTCCATTAGAAAAGTTCTGCTCAAAACAGAATGATCCCAGGAGCACTGTTGAAGATGCTATGACATTAAAACCAGTGATGGAGCCCACCCCCTGCCCTGTACCTGAGACATCTAGATTCACCCCAGGAGACTTGAAGGAAATTTGTGACTTGTAGGAAAGGACTAGACAACCATTGGGAATTCTCTAGATAATGCTCAGCCGAACGGAAGGAAATTCGCTTTGATTTGTTTTCTGATAGCATCTTCTATCAAGTTGGAAGTCTCATGGGATAAAACTGCAGTTCCCCTGGTTCAGTAGCCTGAACAGCCTGATTTTTAAATGTCCCTTTTTCTGGATCCTTTGTAAACATGAAATCATTCCATGGATGGCTGCCTTATAATTTTGTCTCTCCACGTTAATTGTGAATGGTTAAAATAATTTTTTTTTGCTGTTTTCTGATTTGTTTTATGATATTAAATTTTTATTAGTGGATACCTTATGTGAGTGGCTCATTACTTAATCTCTTGGCAGTTTGCTGCTCTGTTTGACGACTAGACTTGACCCACATTTGAACATCAGAAAAGGTAATGAAAAGCTTTCAAGGACAGGGAAAGATGCACCCACTATATGCAGATCCTTTAGGGAAGGAGGGATGCAAAGGAGGAAGAGAGATGAAGGAAACAATATACCATGTGTCCCAAAGGATACTAACTCATTGACTTCTACTTTGCTTTGCCAGCATTTTTAAGAAATATTTAGGGAGGTAGTATACTCAGAGAAGCAGGCAACAGACCACCATCACAGTGAATTCAGTCCAAGGACAGAGTTGCTCTAGGAATATATGAGGCTGTGAACACCTGACCCTAGAAATAGAGATTTTAATAGAAGTTCAGTTTGTAAATTTGTTTCTAATGCCTAGAAGTTAGGGCAGCATCCTACAGTGTAGTTTTTTACAGTGTCAGAAATAAGGGACCTTGTGTCCAATCCCTATGTCTAAAATGCCCTTCCCCGGCTCCCTCACCTCCTTCTAGCCTTGATCTCAAGTCTCCTTCAGTTAGGCCCCCTGTGACCACCCTATTGAAAACTAATCTGTCCCACCTTGCCCCAGTGCTCTTTAGTTTGTTCTGTTATTTCTTTTTTAGTAGCACTAGTCACCTTTTAATTTGCTTTCTAATATATATCCTTACTTTGTCCTTCCCTACTAAAATATAAGCTCCAGGAAGCTAGGTTCTGGATGAATAGGTGTGGTTGAATGAGTTGGTGTTCCCTGAGGAGGCACTTTCTAACCCGAGGCCGAGTGGCACTAATCTGTAGTAGGGCTCTGGCCAGCAGCAGGACCAGCTGCCAGCCCTGCATCTGGCTCTGCCCGCGCTCACACCGAGGTGGGAGTCTGCACACGGGGCTGAGTGTACAGGTGGGAAATTAACTAGGTTTGGGTTCCTAACCCACAACCAGCTAAAGTTGGTAAGGTGCTGTGTGACTGACTGAGGGACCTGAACATCTGGTTCCCATTTTGGGCTCCGCTCCTCATTTCTGTTGCAATGTTCGCCATTGCCCAGTTTTCTAAAGTTGGGTAGGAATGTGAGGGAAGACCTGTCTCGTTCCAACTGCCCTCTTTATGGAGGGATCCTAACAAATACGAGAGCCATCAGAGGAGGGGGCCCAGTGGAGACAGGATGAGAAGCCAGAGTGTTTGAAGAGATGTGGAAGGAACTGAATGTTTGCCTTCATCTGGAATGTTCTTGGGGGACAGAACTTGGTAACCACCATCAGATACTTCAAGGGCTGTCAAGTATACGAGAACACAGATCCTATTTTATCCAGAAGGTGGAATGGAATATAAGCTGAGCCCTACCTCTTCTCCATTTACCTCTTCATTCAGCAGCGTTAACTCAGCACGGAGCCCTTCCTACAGACTGGGCACTCGAAAGTGCTGAGTGTTCAAAAGGGAGCAGGGGTCACTTCCAGTCCATAAAGACCTTGTGATTCTAAGAAGTTTTCAAACAAGAAGACACAGTTGCCAGTAGGACCGGGAGGCAGGCACAGGGTGCTCGGGGAACGCATGGGAGCAAGGAACCCACAGTGAGGCTTCAGGAACGACATTGAGAGGGAGAGGAGGCCTGCGTGAATCGCCGGTGGAGCAGTCGAGAACCGTTCTCGGAGCAGGAGGACCT